CTTTTCAAATGGTTACTTGCACTGAAAAATGGGAAATTGAAAAAGGGCAAAAATTAACCTTGATTATCACCATTTCCTGCAAAAAATTTAACTGATATAAAGCAATTGCCACAACAGGGAGGCCAGAAGAACCCAGAAACTGTTTTAATCAGCAAACACTTGATTTCCTTGTAGTGCAAGGAGAAAGATAGATGTCAAAGGCAATTCTGTTTTGAATATAAACTCATTTGTAAAACATTTCACAGGGTGGTTTTGAACAATATCATTTCACAAAATAGGGAAAAGCAGAGGAAATGAAAACAAGGACATGGAAAACTTGACTAGAGATCTAACCAAGCACATCATTCCAAGAAATTTCATAGGTGAAACTTCTCTGGTAGGAAGAAGACAAATTGACAAAAAATGGAACTTGTTTGTCAGCATTTTTATAAGGTTCTACTCCTATCATTAGTGATGGTGGAACCATCCACATTTGAATCCTTAACAGCTCTATACTGGATGTACCATAAGAGGAAGTTGAAATGCATTCCAGAGGATGAAATAGTTAAGAATTTCAGGGCTTGGTTAAATACATATGGAGGTTCTGGAAAAGATACGATCTTGAAAATGTTGGGATTGTTTTGCAAGAGATCTCAAGAAAGGGGGTAATAGAAAAAAATTTTCAAAAACCCTATTATTCAAAAAATGGTAATTGAGAAGACTACTTACCCATGGAACTACTTCCCCATCCTTACAAAATCTTAATGAGCGTATTTTGCACATGTATCGAGGAAATGCTTAATTAAAATAAGAAGGAAATAGCTTCTATGAAGAGTGAGACAGAGAATCCATTAGAGAGAATTAAAAAAAGGCTTGACTTGCTGCAGTGAGGTCTGAGTTCAAATTAGATAACATAAATTTGTAGTGCATTCAATCAGCATGGTTTTGTGATTTTTCTCCAGCTCTGTTCAAAATCATATGAGTAGGAGTGGAAGAGACAGATGGTAGGGTAGTTTATGTTGGCAGGGTGTCAGTGATGAAAGAAGAGGGGAACCGTGACAAGAGGAGGATAATGTAGAATTGAATGGTAGAATAAATCAGTTAAAAGTATGAACTAGGTGGGAGCAAATCCTTGGAAAGAGTGAAGTGCTTCATGCTAAGAGATAGACTTAAGAAGTGTCTTGGAATTAGTTCTGAAGGAATTAGATACCTTTGGGAATCCAGCATTTGCCTTGGGATTGCCTTGAGGATGCAAGCCCTTGCACTGTACAAGAAGACAGCAAGGGAGAGGACTGAGCCTAAGGGAAGTATTACACACAGACACCACACCCCATTGACCAGACGATGACCTAGAGTTTCCATTGGCATCAATTAAAAAAAAAACCTTAAAGTTTAAGAATTTATATTTACCCCATTAGAATTCTTCTTATATTTGGCCCAACATTCTAGCCTGTCAAGATATTTTTGGATTCCCTGATGGAATTCACTGTGCTAGCTGTTGCTCCTAGTTTTGAATTATCTGAACATATGAAAAGAATGATATCTGTGCTTTTATGAGTGAATGAATGAAGCATTTATTAAATGCTTACTATGTGCAAAACACTCTGCTAAACGGAGGATACAATTAGAAAAGTAAGACAGCCGCTGCTACCAAAACTGCAAGTCAGGTGGAAAGGGCCCGTGGTTCTTTGGGTTCAGCAAGAAAGCAGATAGTAATGTCATTATTGATAAAATGTTAAAGTGCTCAAAGCCTAAGAAAGACCCCTGGGGCATTCTACTTGTGACCTCCTTCAAATTGACATTGAGCCATTGATGATTACTCTTTGGGTCAAGCCATTCAATCAAGTCTGAAGCCATTTAATTAAACTTTTCCATCTTTTCTATAAGAATAGTATGAAAAACTAGGAAATGCTTTACTAAAATGTAGGCAAATTTTATTTGTACCCTTCCCAAGATTTCCCAGTTTAATAACCCTGTGTAAAAAGGAAGTAAGATTGGTTTGGCATAACCAGTTCCTGATGAAGTCATGTTGGCTCTTTGTATTTAACACTTAGTTTTCTGTATCTTTTAAGCAGTGCATCCTAGAACTTTTGGAGGACTCAAGCTCACTGACTTAGAGTTTTCAGATTCTATTTTTGTATCCTTTTTTTTTTTTTCAAAATTGGGAAATTTGCCCTTCTGCAGTCCTGTAATACCTCTTCCATTCTTCATACTATTTTATTTATTTCTGATAGTGGCTTGCTAATCACATCGACTGGTTTTTTCAGTGCTCCAGGACAGTGGTGTCAAACTCAGTTAGGAATGGGACCCACTGTATGTAAGGGTGGCTGCAGGTACATATTGACTTAGAAAACCACTTATTAAATACGTTATCTATGTTACATTGTATTTTTATGTGTTTCGTTAAATATTTCCCAATGACATGTTAATCTGGTTTGGTTCACACTTAGGAATGTTGCAGGCCAAGTGTTGGACACCTCTGCTGTAGGATGTAGTTTGCTAGTGACTTAAAGTTATCAGAGATGGTTATCAGCTCTTTATTAGCAACAGGGAATCATGTAAGTTCAGAGGTTGTTTTTCTTGGCAGAAAAAAAAACAACAGAAAAAAAGAAAGTTGAGTAACTGCCTTCTCTCCGTTATCAATGATGGTCATTACTTCTTCCCCAAGCAGTGGTCCTATTCCTATTTGGATTCACTTCTAGATCCCAAGAGAACACAAAAAAATTAAACCTGCTCTTCTTGTGCTTCTTAGCTTTTCTTACCAGCCTCAACTCATTGTGAGCTTTGGCATTCCTGATACTGCTATCCTTATAGCATATGCTTTTGTATTCATCCCATTAGCTCCACCAAAATGTTGTGTTCTCTCTTTGTATTTGATTTAAAAACAGAAGATAGCACACACACGCACACACACACATATATTTATATATAATGCTTTCATCTTACTTGCTTATTTCTGGCCACAGTTGTTAGGAGCCCTCGCTTCTTTGGTTCAGGTCTGCAAATCACTAAATCTCAGGTTCCATTTGCACTGCAAGTCTAGGATAAATTCTACTGTCAAAAATGGCACAAGCCGAGCTCTCCTTATTATATTTATATTACGTTATTAATAATTAACTATTAGTATATCAATTAATTATAGTAATATATTATATATTTATAAATTATATAGGTTATATATCAAATGTAAATATAGGTTAAATTGCTATCTTTTGTTTTTAAATCACCTACCATTTTTCCTTCCCATTATTCTTAAAACAAAGAATTAAAAAAAGAGGAAAAAAACCAAGTTAAGTAAAACTAACCAACACAGTGATAAAGTCTGCCAATTTTGGCCTTGTTCCACCCCTTCGGGAGGAGTGCTGGAGGCTGTAGCCTTTGGCCAGGTCACTTGGCTTTATCTTGCTGTCTGCTGTTCTGATTCTTCTTTTATCGTTCTTCTCGTCTACATGATTGTAATTGTGTGTCCTGTTTCTTAGTTCTTTCACTTCATAATTGCATTTATTCCAGTCCTTCTCTATACTCATGCTTATTTCTCAGAGTTTAATGACATTCCATTGCATTCATGTACCCCCACCTTGTTTAGCCCTCCCCAGTCGATGGGCATCTGTTTCCTCCCAGTTATTTATGTATAAGAGGCTAAATCTCTAGGTCAATGGATAGGCACTTTTTGTCACTCTTCAGATAATTCCAAAGTGCTTTCCAGGATGCTTTCACAAATTCATAGCTCAACCCACTGTGCATAGTCATGACTGTCTTTTCATAATCCCTTCCACGTTAATTGTTTCCATCTTTTGTCAGCTTTGCCAATTTTCTGAGGGCCATGTGAAACCCTAGAGTTGTTTTGATTTTCATTTCTCTTATTATTAATTTGGAGCATTCTTTTAAGTAATTATTAATAAGTAGTGATTTTGAGAGCTGTTTGTTCATACCTTTTCACTACTTACCTATTAGAGAATTGGCAGTTGTTTATTTTTTGAAAGTACAGTGCTGATAGTGTGATCACCACCAACAAAATTAGTGTAATGAGGAACCCTTGAAGACTTTGCTTCTCTGAATGCACTTTGACCTTACTGCCTAATAACATACTGTTATTCTGCATTGAAAGAGAACTGTTAGCAGGACTCATCTGACTCCCATCTAGAGCAGCCTCCTTGACCAAAAAACTCTGTAGTTTTGCACCATTCAGTCAGCTGACCAGGTCTTGGCCTAGAAAGAAGGCGGTGTAGCTTGTGGACAGGTCTGAGATCTAAAGAAAGAAGTGAATGCCTGTGCACTGAGTAGTAGGCTGAGTAGCCAAATCACAAGACATTGCTGCTTTTCCTGATGCCTTTGATCCAACTGAAATTAGAGATGAGGAGTCCAACATTTAAATTTTAAAACTAATGCCATGTGAGATTGTGATTCATTTACCGTGAGCGTATTTGCAGAAGTTAGCATTATAAATGAAAATGTGATTCCACATTTTAGTTGACTTTGGAAACTTAACCATATGAGCCAGATATGGCTCATCAAGCTTTGCCTTACACAGTTGTCCTGATTGTAATTCTTTTTGTGATTGATTGTTTTTATTAAGTTGTTTAATAAAGTTAAAACTGTCAGAGAATGAAAATAATTTCCCCATGTTTTTCTGGTAACTTTGATGGGATTCTGTAGTTCAGGTTTATGTGCCTATGGGGAATATAGTGCATTGTATTCATTCTCTTATAACCTAATAAAAATGGTAAATAAAAAATCAGGGTTTTTATTTTCATAAAAATTTCACTAAGACCACATATGAGACTTTAAGAAAGCAGGGTTTTGGTTGAAGTTTGGTTTTATTTAATTTTTTTAATTCTCATTTGTTTTTTCCTGGGTTGTGAGGCAGTAGCAGCAGCAGTACTATTGCAGTACTTAGTCTATACTGCCAAAATGCTCAAAGATTTAGCCTGTTTATGATAGATGATTGTGGTAAAGTATGTGTATGTACGGCTGTCCTGATCCTCATGCGTTGTCCATTTCTTTTCCCCTCTTTATTCTAGTTGGCCTGATCCAGCGGTTTCTTGTACTTCAGATTTACGTGCCCCTGGGACAAGACTTCTCTACTGAATTGCTGTAAGAAAGACCTCATTTCCCTGAATGTTTCATGTGTAGTAGACTTGATCAGTTGAAGCTGGACCAGCAGCCATTAATCGCAAGTGGCAGTTTTTGCATTAATGAGCAGTGACTTATCAAGTCAACATGAAGTAATTAAGTTAATTTAATCGTATTTCTCAGATGCCCAGTATATCCTGGTATTTCCCCAGGGATAAAGAATTCTTTCTGTTTAAGGAAATAAAAAGAATTATGAGTGTGACAGTAAAGAGCATATAGTTTTAGGAAAAATATTCAGAAAAATTGAGCTACCCATTAAACTGCAGATAACCAAGAGTGACTTGTATTAAATATTTCTTTCCTGTTTCTTGATCATATAGAAATATACATATTTAAAACAGGTTGAAATTCCACATTTTAATATAATTTATTTTATGCTTAGAAATATTGTCACTGATCAAGGAGAATGGGATTAGAATAATCCTATTCTAACAAGGTAGACTTTGTGATTTTTTGTTTTAAAGCTTACTAGGTTTAAAATCTTGAGGACTATTACTAGGAGAATTGGAGCCAAAATGGAGATGTCTCCCTGAGAAGTACATCATGTGCCTAGCAAAAATGGGGCAGAAAGTGCAGGTTTCCAGGTGTTTCACTTGAGACCCACGGAGACTATAACCCTCTACAGCCCTCTCTGAGACTGTGCTGAGGCTGAAACTAATTCTGGAATGGTCAGGCTTGGGTGACATGACTTGTATCTCCTTTTAAGAAGGGAACATATATATTATAAATGAGGAATCATGACAGTTAATGGATGATATTTAAAAAATGTTTCTTACTGTTTTCAGTCTCCGGAGTTTCGCATGTAATCCTCTTTTCCTTGCTTGAATGGTAGTTTTTCCTACTTATACGTGTTTTTAATTGAAGGTTATATTCTTGAAGACTATCAGAAGCAGTGATACTTCCCATTTAGTGGAAAAGTAGAGAAATGGGAAAAAATTATCTTTATATTCATATTAAGTGTTGGTATGATTAGTGAAAGTTTTTGAATAGCATGTTATTGCTACAAAATTGGTTTTGATTTTGGTCAATAATTTCCTGCTTTGTTAAGCTGAGTGTTAAAGAATACATTAAACAACCTAGCCCCCAGTTTTGATCAGCTTGAGAAGTTTCTGGTCTCTAAGATCAGTGCCAAATGCAGTAAAACCTTCAGTAGCCATAATGCTAGTTCTGTTTAACATAAACCTATTTGTTTCATCCTTATTGAAGATTTTGTAAAGTGGTTTAGTAAAAATGGACTCTACAGACAATAGTCTTTGATCGAACATCTTGCAGTTCCTCTTTGGGTCGTTAACTCTGTACATTTATTACGATGAAGTACTCAATCTTATTGGCATTTGCATTGTCCCTCAAGGGTAGCAAAAGCACGTGGTATATGTCATGTCTTCTCAGACTCATAACTGTATGAAGCAGTTTTCACAGGCATAATACCCATATTACAGATGAGTAGAATGCGGTTTAGAAGATTTAAATGACCTGCATATGATCACATAGTAGGTGTAGTAGGCAGTATTTGAACCCAGGTCTTAACTGACTCCAAGTCGAGCATTCTTTCCATGACATCATGCCCTTATGTACTGAGTCCAAGGCCTGACAGGGGAATTATTGTTTTAAAATAAGTCTCAGATTTCAGCTTGTTTTCTTAATCATTTGGCCTCCTTTTCCTTTAAAAAACAGAAAAAAAGTCAGATGTAATTGAGGTTTCTTCGTAGGCAGAACTATTTAATCAAGATTTCACTTAATAATATTTGAAAAAAAACCAAGCCTGCTATTCTGTCATTAAGAAATTTTCAAATAGATAAATCTTAAAGTATTGAAACCATAGTAATAGCTCACATTCTTGTATTGGCCCAGTGCCTTGTAAAGTTCACAGAGCTCGTTAGCCTCTTGGCCTATCAGACTGAAGGAGAGTCTTGTCAGACAAGTTTGTAATTTACTCCCCCAAGCTATGTACTAGGTTGTATAGGACTTTCAGTCTGTGTTGGTTAAAATGAGACCCCCCCAGGGGTGGAGTCACAGATGCCTGAAGGGAAGTGGCAAAGCAGGCTTCTTTTCAAAAGTCCCTCACTGTCATCACGGTACTTTTTCTGCCCAGGTTTTTTTGTTGATTTGTCTTTTAACTGTATCTCCTTCTACATTGGCACCTTCTCTGCCCCTTTTGGTCTTATGGAATTATCTGGGCACAGGGAATTTCAATGACTCATCCTGATAGACCTAGCCAGAATGTGTCAGGGTGGGACTTGAACCCAGGGCTTTCTGACTTTGAGGCCAGTTAGCTGGCTGCCATTCCATACTGCTCTCATTTGACAAGCAGAAGGTGATAGCTTTATTTTTAATAATCAAAGATGTTATTGAGAAAAATACAAGGTCATACAATTGAAGCATTTTAGAATTAGAGGGACCTTGGAAATGATCTCGTCAAATAAATCCATTATCAGCCAAACAAACCTTGAGTTGTTCTTTTCAGTAGTAATGATAAGGTGTAATCGATTGTCTTATTTTGTTCTCCTTGTGCCAAGAAAAAAAATAGGCAAAATGGTTGAGAATCCTGGAACACAGTCTGGTGTAAAATATTCCTCCTCTTCCAAAGCTTGGCCTAGGGTCCTCCTGCCAGAAATCTTATTCTGTCATTATTATTATTATTATTTTTTTTTTTTTAGAATAAAACAATTGTATTTCTGCTAGTAGGTACAGAGGAGTATGGATGGATGTTGAGACTAGCAAATAATAACAAAATATTTTGTTTTGGAAAAAAAGTATATGTAAGTGATGGAACACTTTGGAAACTCTGTTGAAAACTTCATCTTATTACTGAACAGAAACCATGTACTTGAAGCACAGACCTTCTCTTGCATGTGTATTTAGAGATGAGAAGACTGAGTTTGGTTTTTTAAAAAAACACTCATCTCATGTTAAGGCCTGCTCATAGAAGGGTCAACAACATTGAATGAATTCCCTGTGTTGTTTGTGTGCCTCGAGACCTGTGGACACATTCCTGCTCTCACCCTTTTGGGAAAAGCTGCTACAGTAGTTTAATATGAGTTCTTGGCAGGCCGAACTGAAGACAAATCATGTCCAGACGATTTCAAGTGAATCACCAGTATTTCCCTGAAGTACATTGAAGAATGGATCACAGTAGAAAGACACTGCTTAGAAGTGAGTCTTTTCACTTTGGTGTAAATCTCATTTTTCATACAAATTCCAGTAATCTTCCTCAAAGCATTAAACTCAATCTGCCTATTATTCCTTAGGCATCTGCATTTTTCAAGTTTTCGTATTTATTACATATCTAGACTGTCAGCAGTTCCTGAATACAAAACATAAATAAATGAGATAACTACATTCTAAAAATGCAGATGTCTACAACAGCCATGGTATGAGGAGGAAGGGAACTTTATAAAAGGAAGAGATGGGGAGGAAATGTGGTTCAAGTCTTGGATTCAACAACACACACACAAGCCCTAACCCTTCCCCAGAGAGTCTTGTCTTCCCCCAAGCTCTCTTTTCCATCAGAGGGACCTTATAAACCCTATTCCAGATATTTTAAAATCGACAGCTACGGGAGTGGCCATCAGCAGTCAGGAGAGAAAATGAATGAAGCATCTAATAAGCACTTCCTGTATACAAAGCACTGTTCCAAGTAGTGAGGATATAAAGAGAGAGGCACAAACTGTCCTTGCTCTCAGGGAGCTTACCTTCTAATGGGGAAGACAACACCTAGGGAAGGATTCCGGTACAGTCATGTGGACAGGTCCCATGGTTCTTAGGGGGCAGTGGCACAGCGGATGCTTTTTCTTTAATGTCGTTTCTACTGATGAAATCATCAGTTTCTGATGTTGAACCATTGGGTAGGGCCAAAGTCTTTGGTAACAAGAACTTTCCTTTCTGGGTTTCCAGTAGCTGTGGCTTTATTCCCTGAAGGAGCAGTGACCCGGATGCGTCACTCCAGGAGTGACTTCTCAGGATGGTGGCCAAGGGCACTGGGCTGGAGGCCTGGCTTCTCCCAAGGCTCCTTAGTTCAGGGTTCTGGGTTGTCTCCATTGGGGTCTGAGGGGAGATGGAGATCAAGATGATGGAGGTGGTAGTTTGCCTTGTTTTACCCATGCTGCTTCCTGTCTCTTCCTCAGGGGTCCTTACCGCTTTAGCTAGGATTCAGGTCTGAGTGGCAGCTGGTTGGCAGAAGGTGGGGATAGCTGGCCCCCTCTCCACAGGGGTAGCTCCCCGAGATGATGGCTGTGAGGGCTGGGCTGGAAGCAGGTCTAGTGCTCTGGAGGATATCGCCACTTTCAGTGCTCCTGTGCCCATCAGCCTGGTGGTGGCATTGATCAGCAGTTGTTGCTGGTGGTGATGAAGAAGATGGGCCCTCTCTCCACAATGATTTCTCATGCATGCAGATAACATCTTGCTGTACAAAATCTTTAGCTATTGGTTGTTCAATAAATTCACCAGAATACCAGAAGTGCTACTTTGGAAACAAAGTAGACATCCATCATTTGGTTGAAAGGCTTAACAAATGTATATGAATATAGTGGAACGTTACTGAAGGAAATGACAGGATGGACACAGAGAAGCTTGGAAAGACTTAATGTGAACTGATGCAGAATGAAGCAGAGGAGTCAGGCTGTGTGAGAGGACATTTCCCTACTCCTTTGCAGAATTGGAGGTGGGGTGGCAACTCTCATGGGTATGGAACATTGAATCATTTATCAGATTTTTTTCCTGATTAATGTATTGATCATTTTTGTTGATTTATTTTTTTCTCTTCCTTATTCTTCTTTAAAAAAATTTCGTTGGTGTATGAAATAACTCTGTGGGAGAGGAGAAAGAGAAGGATGAAGAGGGAGAGTTAGATGATTTCAAAACAAAAGATCTCCATAAAAATGTATTTTGAAAAGTCCCCCAAATGGTTAAAACTATCGTTACTAATACTGAAACTCTCTCATCTCCTCATTTTAGACCTGTAA